ACTGCAGGGGACAGAGGAGTAGGGTCTACAGGGTCAAGACTCTCCAGGGGACAAAGAAGTAGAGACTAAAGGGTCCGATTCTAGGGAACAGAGGAAGTAGGATCTAAAGGGCCTGACTGTTGGGGACAAAGGAGTAGGGTCTACAAGGTCGGACTCTCCAGGGGACAAAGGTGTAGGGTCTACAGTGTCCGACTCTCCAGGAGACAACGGTCTAGGGTCTATAGGGTCCTATTTTAGGGGACTGAGGAAGTACGATCTAAAGGGTTGGACTAAAGGGGACCGAGTAAGTAGGGTCTTAAGTGTCTGACTCTAGGGGACAAAGGAGTAGGGTTGAGAGAGTCCGACTTTCAGGGACTGAGAAATAGGCTCTAAAAGGTCCGATTCTAAGGAACAGAGGAAGTAGGGTCTAAAGGGTTGGACAAAAGGGGACTGAGGAATAGGGTCTAAAGGGTCTGACTTTAGGGGACAAAGAAGTAGGGTTTAAAGGGTCTGACTACATGGGACTGAGGAATAGGGTCTACAGGGTCTGAACCTAAGGGACTTAGGAGTAGAGTTTAAAGGTGTTATCTGACAATAAAACTATAAACACTAAATATGGTCTAAATCTAAGGATTTTTATATAAATACTCCCTTTCAGAAAATGTTCCTTTTCGATGAAAATTTGATGAAAAACATTTGCTGTCTGCCCTGAATTTACTGAATCATTTTGCAGTAAATTTTGATATAATTTTCCCATTTGAAAGTCAAAATTACCAGAAAATAAATTTGGAAAGCATTTGCATACAACGTGTCCATAGGCACTTCATTAAACATTGGTCTATTTTATCAATCTGGAAGTTCAACGCATTTCTAGTCTTCATGAAGAACCAAACATAATGCGTATCTTAGAGATTGAAGTTACAGATGTTGGAGGCACCACAGAAGATTGTTCAAAGCGAGAGCACATCTTCTCTTCTGTACCCTCAAATTTGTTTGAGAAACAAATACAGAGGAATGTTCCTATGCTGATCATCAATAGTCGATCTATATTATTGTAATACTAAGAGCGGGATAAGCCTATATTAGATAATGCATGTGTAGATTTTTTTTATCAAGCAACCTTATTTCCATTTGTATGTAGACAAGGGTGCAGTTCTTTGACGTCTTATCAGCAAACACAATGACATGTCTGTCGTGTAAATCATGAAGTGTAGATTAAACATCAGCTTGAAGGAATACAAACTTATGTTTTGTTTTCATTTTCGATTTCAAACTTCTAATTCTTTGAATAATGATAGACAGAATGGATTTAACCCACTCTGAAAGTGAATTCAACGTAGCGTGCTTTCGTTTAACGCACTTTTTGGCATAGTTTCCCACTGAAGGACCTGAAATTCACATTCTAATTCATGGACGGGGTTTCACGGCCCTTAGGATCCTTCATGACAAGCTCTGGTCTCCTAAGTTATTGGATAATGCTCAAATCACACGTGTACTTTACTGGACCGTAGTTATAACGGGGACAGAACAGGAACACAAGAAGTAGTGGCTCTTAAGATCATTTACTAATTGAGAAGTTTAGATATGATGGGGTGGGAGTAACTTTGGGGAATGACGGAGTGTATCTGTATCGGAAGTAATGTGGAACGTTAGGATTGGCAGATTGGTGTTACCATCCACGCTCAACTTTCACAAGTTTGACGATTTGCCTAAAAATCGCGGCTATCTGTACGGACAGTTTTAATAAGATTTTTGTGACACATCATAAACACATTTTTCGAAAGTCTCCAAATCATTTTCTGAATTTATTTTAAAATGTTAGTAACACGGACAGAGGAAGTGAAGAGAGTGTAGTTGGATCACGATGGAAATACAACTGTTTCTGACTCCAAAACAGGGGCGTATCTTCCATAGAAAGGAAAAGCCCGTGCTTACACATAAAAAATCCGTGCATGGAGTATGTCGGACAAAATTACAAAACTAAGGTTGAAAATAAATATCTAATTTGTTTGATCAATAAAAAAATATAAATAGAAAATTGTTGATTAACTAGGCCTAGTGCATTGCTTTCCGGAACTTTATACACGTCATACTATTCTACTTCTTACTATCAATTCAGCGTTTCCGATTATAATATTGTTAAAGTGCAAATTTTCGAAATGAAGACGGCTTCTGGATTACAGACGTCGATCGACAAGTTTTTCAAACAAAATCAAGTCTTTTATTTAGTCAGGGGTTGAAGTTTGTTGTTAAATAAATAAAAGAAATGAAAAAATAAAGATAGACATTGCATGTATAACGTCTTATAAAATATGTCTAAGAAAACGATTCAAAACCATAATATATCTAAGAACAGACACAACGCATTTGCAGTATTGGCCAATTAAATTTAAAGTCGACATTTTAAGTTCATTTCAACTATGTACACCATCCGGTGCACATACAATTTCACACCCTATACAGTATGAAAAACATCTTTGAAATCATGATATTCATTTTCCGTCTGAAATTTATAGACTTTATTTTATGGGGCTTCGCCCCCACCACTCCATTTACCAAGATCCCCATTAACACTAGGACCCTGTGGTTACACTTTTCTGCTCGGCTAGCTACGCCCCTGCAAAACATCTTCAAACATTACAGTTTACATACGGCGAAATAATTGATCTCCAAAGAAGAATTATGGGTTATCTCCCTTCCGTACCGACATCAACACGAAAGTCCGCCTGGAACGCCATCAATAATCACTTCAATATCGGATTGCAACTCAAATACAAACTGAGTGTACCAGTTCCCTTCAGGATGACTAAAACAATTATCAAGCTTTGTCATAAATCCTTCAAAATGAAGGTTCCCCTGGTTTCGCGTTTATAACTTTTCTTTTTCTCAGCCAATCGCATATTACTTTTAAAATGACGTAGGACGATTATCCATTATCTTATTATACCAACCAATGAAATAGCTTGAATAAAGCAAATGTCGTCATTTCGATCTAATTTAGAGTCGGGAAATTCCAACAAAGGGAATTTCTTACCCCGGTATTTGTCACGATAAATCCAGAGCTTCGCATGCTAAAATATGAGCGCATATGAGTTTTGAATAATTTCTTGATATAAATACAGTACACTTACTTCACAATAAACGAGAAAGAACTTACGAATAACTTGAAACTGGACGACGAATTCGGCTTGAGCGGGCTTCTATCAAGCTTAGCGTTGTAGTCAAGAACGACAACTCAATACCACTTCAAGTTTGCGGGAGTGTTAATATTTCACGATATGGTGTGAAATTGTATGTGCACTGGATGGTGTACATAGTTGAAATGAACTTAAACCAGGGACGTATATATCACGTTAATATATACGTCCCTGCTTAAAATGTCGACTTTAAATTTAATTGGCTAATACTGCAAATGCCCTGTGTCTGGTCGTAGATATATTATGGTGATTCCTGAACAGGAACTAGTTGATTGTCGATTTCGTTTTAAAAATAGAGGGTATTAAAAGCGCATGGACATACGAAAAAGGCTGTATTTTGCTACTTTTATGCTTCGACCACGCTTCGAAACTTAAAAAATGACGATACGTTTTTTAATGAGCTGTTCATCTTGAAGGATTTATGATAAAGCTTAATAAATGTTTTAGTCATCCTGAAGGGAACTGGTACACTCAGCATGTATCAGAGTTGCAATCCTATATTGAAGTGATTATTGATGTCGTTCCAGGCGGACTTTCGTGTTGATGTCGGTACGGAAGGGAGATAACCCATAATTCTTCTTTGGAGCTCAATTATTTCGCCGTATGTAAACTGTAATGTTTGAAGATGTTTTGCAGGGGCGTAGCTAGCCGAGCAGAAAAGTGTAACCACAGGGTCCTAGTGGGGGATCAGGGGGGCGAAGCCCCCAGACGGAAAATGAATATCATGATTTCAAAGATGTTTTGAATCGTTTTCTTAGACAGTTCTTTTATTTATTTAACAACAAACTTCAACCCCTGACTAAATAAAAGACTTGATTTTGTTTGAAAAACTTGTCGATCGACGTCTGTAATCCAGAAGCCGTCTTCATTTCGAAAATTTGCACTTTAAAATATTATAATCTGAATTGATAGTAAGAAGTAGAATAGTATGACGTGTATAAAGTTCCGGAAATCAATGCACTAGGCCTAGTCATTCAACTATTTTCTATTTATATTTTTTATCTATCAAAAAAATTAGATATTTATTTTCAACCTTAGTTCTGTAATTTTGTCCGACATACTCCATGCACGGATTTTTTTATGTGTAGGCACGGGCTTTTCCTTTCTATGAAAGATACGCCCCTGTTTTGGAGACATAAACAGTTGTATTTCCATCGTGATCCAACTACACTCTCTTCACTTCCTCTGTCCGTGTTACTAACATTTTAAAATAAATTCAGAAAATGATTTGGAGATTTGGAGACTTTCGAAAAATGTGTTTATGATGTGTCACAAAAATCTTATTAAAACTGTCCGTACAGATAGCCGCGATTTTTAGGCAAATCGTCAAACTTGTGAAAGTTGAGTCTGCAAATATGAGCGTGGATGGTATTAACACCAATCTGCCAATGCTAACGTTCCACATTACTTCCGATACAGATACACTCCGTCATTCCCTAAAGTTACTCCCACTCCATCATATCTAAACTTCTCAATTAGTAAATGATCTTAAGAGCCACTACTTCTTGTGTTCCTGTTCTGTCCCCGTTATAACTACGGTCCAGTAAAGTACACTTGTGATTTGAGCATTATCCAATAACTTAGGAGACCAGAGCTTGTCATAAATGATCCTAAGGGCCGTGAAACCCCGTCCATGGATTAGAATGTGAATTTCAGGTCCTTCAATGGGAAACTATGTCAAAAAGTGCGTTAAACGAAAGCACGCTACGTTGAATTCACTTTCAGAGTGGGTTAAATCCATTCTGTCTATTATTATTCAAAGAATTAGAAGTTTGAAATCGAAAATGAAAACAAAACATAAGTTTGTATTCCTTCAAGCTGATGTTTAATCTACACTTCATGATTTACACGACAGACATGTCATTGTGTTTGCTGATAAGACTTCAAAGAACTGTATCCTTGTCTACATACAAATGGAAATAAGGTTGCTTGATAAAAAAAATCTACACATGCATTATCTAATATAGGCTTATCCCGCTCTTAGTATTACAATAATATAGATCGACGATTGATGATCAGCATAGGAACATTCCTCTGTATTTGTTTCTCAAACAAATTTGAGGGTACAGAAGAGAAGATGTGCTCTCGCTTTGAACAATCTTCTGTGGTGCCTCCAACATCTGTAACTTCAATCTCTAAGATACGCATTATGTTTGGTTCTTCATGAAGACTAGAAATGCGTTGAACTTTCAGTTGAATAAGATAGACCAATGTTTAATAAAGTGCCTATGGACACGTTGTATGAAGTGGCGGTTTTTAAAAAAATATATATGTAGTCACTGTGGGAAAGAAACATTTTCCTTATAAATAAAACGGTATATCTTATCATCTTTAATCACACCAACACTTTGATGTCTAAACTATCAGATGTCTAATTCTCTGTCAGTTGATTATTGTTTTTCTTGTTAAATAGCATGACTTGAATTCACATTGACGTTAACTCTTAAAATGATCAGCACTTTGTTTTAATCCACTACCACCAGATGAAATATTAAAAACAGAGCCCTGAAATGGAATCCAATTAAAAGAAAAGGAGATTGTATACAAACAACACACAAGTACATACCACCTCCAATAGAGTTAGATGTAGTGTTATCTACGTTAGTTTTTCATTGGACTTATAAAATGTAACTTTGATCTACAGTTTTTATTCACGTCATGTAAGTCTTGCATGTATATTATGATATAATGACTCATAAAAATACTGCTTCATAAAATAGTAGGTAGACACTAGAACATGCATATTTGCTATTTTATTGCAAAAGTACCGACAATTTATTAATAAAGATAAGCAGACTAAAAAAGCTACAGGAATTGCACAAAAATACGGAATGTAGCAGGATGACATACTGGTAAAACGAAAACTTGAAGCTATTTTCGCTTTTGGCAAGATTTCTACACAAGCAATCAACAAAGTTCAGCTATACATTATGTATACCATTACTTGTGATAATTTGTACACATACACGTGTATATTTGTCGTGGAAAAGTGTACTTTATCTTATTGTTTATAAACGAATTTCCTCATGCCTGAATTTTTTTTACTGCTTATCATCAGTTTGTATTCCAGACATATTAAGTACATGTTTCAAAAAACATGTTGTTTTTCGTTTCAGTTATGTTCAATTGCGGTTTTGTTGTTGAATGTCTAGTGTATTAGCGACGACTCATATATGTCCTGCCGTAACTCGGTCAAGTAGTTAACTCTCAGGTACGAGTCGGCCGCCCTTAACATCTGACGGACGTTATACAAAGTGAGGACGGCGACCTCGTCCGACGTTGTCAGTTCCATAAAGTGATTCCTCATCGGCAGTACCGTCAGGGGTGGAAGTCCCAAACAGTTAGCGGCATGGTAGCACCTCTGTCTGATCAGTTCACTGCGGTACACGAGCGATGTGTCCCCCTTCGTGTCACTGCAGGCGTTATCGATCTTATTCAGTAGTATTAACTGGGGAATACCTGTTCGTGACAAGATTAAACATGATTTAGAAGTAATTACTAGAAATATAATCATTGATTATTCTAAGAACGAATCTTTGCCGATTTAGAAATGAGTCTTATTTCATCCCTTTACAACATAATACAAACAACATTAATGTTTTTGATACAACTAGTAAGTTCGATAGGATATGTCATCCGTGTTGATAAAGAAATTCACTTGTGTTGTATGTAGTAACACATGTATCGTAAATAAATACACGTGTTGAGAAAAATTATACATTTGCATAAGAACACCTGTGTTGCGTGTAAGAACACATGTATTGTGATTAAGTACACATGTGTTGTGTATAAGTACACATTTGCATAAGAACATTTGTGTATACTGACGCGTGTTACACGTGTGTTGTGTATTTGTAGCTTTGCTCTAACCATCACTTAAATTAAATCTCGCCTTAACTTTTTCACTAAACATCATTTATTGTACTACTGAACACCCTGATCGATCTCTCTAGTCACCACCCACACTATAAACATCATATATTGTACTATGGAACACCCTGACCGATCTCTCTAGTCATCACCCACACTATATATTGTACTATGGAACACCCTGACCGATCTCTCTAGTCACCACCCACACTATATATTGTACTACTGAACACCCTGACCGATCTCTCTAGTCACCACCCACAATATATATTGTACTACTGAACACCCTGACCGATCTCTCTAGTCATCACCCACACTATATATTGTACTATGGAACACCCTGACCGATCTCTCTAGTCACCACCCACACTATATATTGTACTACTCAACACCCTTACCGATCTCTCTAGTCACCACCCACACTATATATTGTACTACTGAACACCCTGACCGATCTCTCTAGTCACCACCCACACTATAAACGAAGTAGGAGGAGATTTTATTTGGAGTTTTTTTTCACTTACCTCTCTGATCTATTTTGTCTTGAATCTCCATGATCTGTTCCTTCACTGGTTCCGTCACAAAGGACATCTCGACCTCGGCCGCATACTTCTCCGCCTCCAGAACGTACACTACACAGTGGATCTTGTCCTTCAGCTTGGGATCCCTTCGGTAGCCGTGAGTTTTATTTGTTACTGGTGATGAGACATTAAACTGAAACCGATGATTGGAAAAACAATAACAGACTGAACAGAGCTTGGTGCTGTAGGAACTGATATTTAAATATCAGTAGATGATTGGAAAAACAATAACAGACTGAACACAGCTTGGTGCTGTAGGAACTGATATTTAAATATCAGTAGATGATTGGAAAAACAATAACAGACTGAACAGAGCTTGGTGCTGTAGGAACTGATATTTAAATATCAGTAGATGATTGGAAAAACAATAACAGACTGAACAGAGCTTGGTGCTGTAGGAACTGATATTTAAATATCAGTAGATGATTGGAAAAACAATAACAGACTGAACACAGCTTGGTGCTGTAGGAACTGATATTTAAATATCAGTAGATGATTGGAAGGGAAAAACAATAACAGACTGAACAGAGCTTGGTGCTGTAGGAACTGATATTTAAATATCAGTAGATGATTGGAAGGGAAAAACAATAACAGACTGAACAGAGCTTGGTGCTGTAGGAACTGATATTTAAATATCAGTAGATGATTGGAAAAACAATAACAGACTGAACAGAGCTTGGTGCTGTAGGAACTGATATTTAAATATCAGTAGATGATTGGAAGGGAAAAACAATAACAGACTGAACAGAGCTTGGTGCTGTAGGAACTGATATTTAAATATCAGTAGATGATTGGAAGGGAAAAACAATAACAGACTGAACACAGCTTGGTGCTGTAGGAACTGATATTTAAATATCAGTAGATGATTGGAAGGGAAAAACAATAACAGACTGAACAGAGCTTGGTGCTGTAGGAACTGATATTTAAATATCAGTAGATGATTGGAAGGGAAAAACAATAATAGACTGAACACAGCTTGGTGCTGTAGGAACTGATATTTAAATATCAGTAGATGATTGGAAGGGAAAAACAATAACAGACTGAACAGAGCTTGGTGCTGTAGGAACTGATATTTAAATATCAGTAGATGATTGGAAGGGAAAAACAATAACAGACTGAACAGAGCTTGGTGCTGTAGGAACTGATATTTAAATATCAGTAGATGATTGGAAAAACAATAACAGACTGAACAGAGCTTGGTGCTGTAGGAACTGATATTTAAATATCAGTAGATGATTGGAAGGGAAAAACAATAATAGACTGAACACAGCTTGGTGCTGTAGGAACTGATATTTAAATATCAGTAGATGATTGGAAAAACAATAACAGACTGAACAGAGCTTGGTGCTGTAGGAACTGATATTTAAATATCAGTAGATGATTGGAAGGGAAAAACAATAACAGACTGAACAGAGCTTGGTGCTGTAGGAACTGATATTTAAATATCAGTAGATGATTGGAAAAACAATAACAGACTGAACAGAGCTTGGTGCTGTAGGAACTGATATTTAAATATCAGTAGATGATTGGAAGGGAAAAAACAATAACAGACTGAACACAGCTTGGTGCTGTAGGAACTGATATTTAAATATCAGTAGATGATTGGAAAAACAATAACAGACTGAACAGAGCTTGGTGCTGTAGGAACTGATATTTAAATATCAGTAGATGATTGGAAAAACAATAACAGACTGAACAGAGCTTGGTGCTGTAGGAACTGATATTTAAATATCAGTAGATGATTGGAAAAACAATAACAGACTGAACAGAGCTTGGTGCTGTAGGAACTGATATTTAAATATCAGTAGATGATTGGAAGGGAAAAACAATAACAGACTGAACAGAGCTTGGTGCTGTAGGAACTGATATTTAAATATCAGTAGATGATTGGAAAAACAATAATAGACTGAACAGAGCTTGGTGCTGTAGGAACTGATATTTAAATATCAGTAGATGATTGGAAAAACAATAACAGACTGAACAGAGCTTGGTGCTGTAGGAACTGATATTTAAATATCAGTAGATGATTGGAAAAACAATAATAGACTGAACAGAGCTTGGTGCTGTAGGAACTGATATTTAAATATCAGTAGATGATTGGAAGGGAAAAACAGTAACAGACTGAACAGAGCTTGGTGCTGTAGGAACTGATATTTAAATATCAGTAGATGATTGGAAGGGAAAAACAATAACAGACTGAACAGAGCTTGGTGCTGTAGGAACTGATATTTAAATATCAGTAGATGATTGGAAAAACAATAACAGACTGAACAGAGCTTGGTGCTGTAGGAACTGATATTTAAATATCAGTAGATGATTGGAAGGGAAAAACAATAACAGACTGAACAGAGCTTGGTGCTGTAGGAACTGATATTTAAATATCAATAGATGATGTGTTGGTATAACTCTATCCGGGAGCGTGTTAAAGTTTATGGGGGTCAGATAGCCAAAATTTCTACAATAAGTTTTGTTCTGGTTATGAGGTTTTGAAAGATCATTTGTAGGAAAGTTAAAAAAATATCAAAGATTTAAAACTTCCGGTACACAATCTTAATGAGGCTGGCATTTTGACTCATGAAAACGTAAATGACCAGTAATGTATTGCAAGGAAGGCGCTGATTGTCCCGATGTTTGGAAACACGATAATAATTGGTTCGTTGAATTTAGAACATCGAACACCGACGTGCATTTTCTGAAGTAAAAATGGTGGTATTTATAAGACAGTATGTCGGGAGTTTTAAATCTCAGCTGTGATGTTTTGACAGGATAACGTCGGAAATAAAAGTCTTAACACTGTATTTATGCTGAATCGTAAACATGTCATTAAAGGGTATTTTTGAAGTAAATCATACGAATTCACGGTCTGATTTCGGTGCCAGTTCAGTTTCAGACTAACCAAAATCCGACCATTTAACAATGTTTGATGAAGCGTGGCGACAGTTTTAGGGCATGATATAAGACCACTCTCAGTGAGATATCTTGGACGGTTTAATGCCTATCCCGAATTTCCCGAAATTGTGTAGTTTCGCAAGACTTATAGAGTTGCAAGCCTTGATATCAGGATGAGTGTATTGACAGACGAGGCTGGTACCTATGGTTGGACATAAAATAGCGTATATTTGTGCAGGTGACACTTGTACAATGTCCATGTGAAGTCAGACTTGCTCAGATCAATGCTACATAGTGGGTACTGCCAATTAGTTAAAACAATCTGATTATTATACAAGTACTTCACCATGATCTAATTGTTTGAATGGTACGTACGATGTAGTTATCAGGCACGTGCCCGTCCAGAATCGCATCAATGTCCTTATTGATACTAAATGCATCCTCTAGCCCCCGGCAGTCACATAATTGGAATTTGAGGTATCGTCTGTTATCAGAAGCTGTGATAGGATACTGACGGTACTGAAACACATAAATTACAATCCACAATCATATCCAACCATGTCTTTTAACAAATTCTTTTTTTCTTTTCTTTTTTTTTCATCCCATCAAACATTAATTTATTTATCGTATGTATATCTAACGTTGTACAAAATATACACACAACATCTTTCAACATCAGTTCAGAATCCTGTACATTACAGCCAAATAATGGATCAAACCGCGCCATACTGCTTGTTTGTCCATATAAGACTTGTCGGTGGTGACAAGGTCGTAATTTTGGGAAACTCAGTAGTCGACTTATCAAAAATAAAATTAGTTGAAATCAATGAAAATTCCAGATGGGGATTGTACTAGACCCCAGATGGGGATTGTACTAGAACCCAGATGGGAATTGTACTAGACCCCAGATGGGAATTGTACTAGAACCCAGATGGGAATTGTACTAGACCCCAGATGGGGATTGTACTAGACCCTAGATGGGGATTGTACTAGACCCAAATTTCAATAAATCACACTTACTTCAATATTGCATAATTTCAAAAGAACGCCAATACAGGTGTGTATCCTCAACTGTGTGACTATTCGAATTAATTTTATCTTGTCCCTAGACGATTACCTTGTACAGGTGACCGTATTATTCATGTTGAAACGTTCGAGAACACATACCATTGACGTAACGCTTTTCCCCCTACTTCCAGCAGCAGCACTCATTGTCACGTGGCCTCTGAATACAGACTCAACCGAATTTAAGAAACTCGATTTGCCGGCGCCGATTGGTCCAATGAAGAGAATATTAACGTGCTCGAGAGCTTCTTCTGACACTCCGAATTTCTTCAGGGGCCAATAGGACTCCACCTCATCAATAAGTGTTGACAGGTACTAAGAACAAAGTAATATACTAAAATTATTTAATAATACACTAAATTTACTAGATCAAACACTAAACAATCCAGATAAGATTCGACCGGTGTTTTTAGTCACTGCATTGAACTTTGCTTATTTTTCTGTGCGGACGAAAACGAAGCAAACGTTGAATTAGTTGGGATTTCCTCAAATTTCCATCGAGGATATTTCGGCTTTTCCCTAATTTGGTATATAAAATAGGATTTGTAATCAACATTTACTAGATATCAGTATAAAATGGCCCTTCAAAATAGTGTCGTCGTGTTGTCTAGCGTAACGTCTAATTACTGGGCGCCGAAAGTGCACTACTATTCACCGAACTTTCATGAGCACGGATATTTTTTGTTAATTTTTTTTACTGTAATAAAAAGAAAAATGGCATGATTTCCCGTTGAACATCATTTCTGTTTCGCCCATATAACGGAGTATGTTATAGCTAAATGGCACACTAAATACAGAATATCTTACAGTAACTATACTAAGAAATACTTAAAAATAAACCAGATGATACTAAATGATACATTTAATTGATACAAACAGAAACAACGATTAATTATACTATATAAATTACATTATTAAACAAATAACGGAGAATTCCCGACTGGAAAGAATCTGAAAACGAGGTAATTACTTGTGATGAAGAGTTGACAACTGTTTGCGTGTAGATTTTTTTCGAGTAACATGTAGTGTTTCATTACCTGTTTGTCAAAATGAGGCTCATCTCTCCACTGCAGTGACGTAATGTTCTGCTTTTTATCTACAAAAAATAGCAGTTAACAGATAAATCAACCATCTTTTTTAATGCTGTTCAGTTAATATTTCAACAATATATTAATGATGAATTAACATAAATTAAATCAAACTGGAACAAAATAAAATCCACTAATAGTCTCACATAGTGCATTATAAAACATTGTCGCCCTATATTTCAATATTTTACTTCCGTGTTGTCAAAGATATGTAAGATATTTTATGTCTCCTCAAATTGATAAATAAACACCAAGAAAATTCATATTTTGAGATTTCACGTGGTCACCACTAGATTCACTAACTGGGGAATCTTACCGTTGTTATTAGATTTTATTTAACCGTCAAATATAATTCGGGACCTTACAAAACACGTTAACATGAAATATGTCAGTTTTGTAAAGCATACAGCACATGAACGTAAAGCGACACGCATAAAAGGTAGAGATAAAGTTTAAGGTAATTGATCAAATTAAAACAATATTTTAAAAATACTAATCAAAACCATGAAGTATTTGAGTACCAAACAAATGGTAATTAAATGAGAAACATTTCCAATCATTTTTTTTTTGTATAACAAACTGAATTCAAACCTTGGCTAGGAAACATAACACTTCACAAATGACCTGAACTACCACAAAATAACTTATGGGCAGTGACGTCATACCTTTAACCCTGTACACTATGACATCTATTACTGGGACATCAGATTCGATAACATCTCCAATCGACATGGGCATGTGCTGATAAGAATCCGCGGTCATTTTGGAGCTGGGTACAAATGTACCATCATCTTTTTTATCGACGGTTCCAGTGAAAACCTCTAGATCTGGGCCATTTCCGAAGATAGGACCAGCCTTTCCGTCGTATACGAGGGCTGACTCGCATTTTCTCACGGGAAATTTTTCATTGTCCCCATCACTTCTAAGACAAAAAAGGAATGCGCTTTTGTCGAAGACTTGTGGGATTGAAGCAGACTGCCAGCTGACTGACGTGTATCCTCCGTACACCTGGCCCAACGAGTCGTAGATGACGGTCACTGAGGGCGAGACAATTGTCTAAAGTAACAATCTAAAGATACATAGATCAATAAAATGCATACACATCTCCGTAAAAAATACTTAATGAGAGAGAGACACATCTTCAACAGGCATAAAGTAGGTGGAGATAGCTACAACAGGCATAAAGTAGGTGGAGATAGCTACAACAGGCATAAAGTAGATGGAGATAGCTACAACAGGCATAAAGTAGGTGGAGATAGCTACAACTGGCATAAAGTAGGTGGAGATAGCTACAACCGGCATACTGTAGGTGGTGATAGCTACAACCGGCATACTGTAGGTGGTGATAGCTACAACTGGCATAAAGTAGGTGGAGATAGCTACAACAGGCATAAAGTAGGTGGAGATAGCTACAACAGGCATAAAGTAGGTGGAGATAGCTACAACAGGCATAAAGTAGGTGGAGATAGCTACAACTGGCATACTGTAGGTGGTGATAGCTACAACCGGCATACTGTAGGTGGTGATAGCTACAACTGGCATACTGTAGGTGGAGATAGCTACAACAGGCATAAAGTAGGTGGAGATAGCTACAACAGGCATAAAGTAGGTGGAGATAGCTACAACAGGCATAAAGTAGGTGGAGATAGCTACAACTGGCATACTGTAGATGGTGATAGCTACAACCGGCATACTGTAGGTGGTGATAGCTACAACTGGCATAAAGTAGGTGGAGATAGCTACAACAGGCATAAAGTAGGTGGAGATAGCTACAACAGGCATAAAGTAGGTGGAGATAGCTACAACAGGCATAAAGTAGGTGGAGATAGCTACAACAGGCATAAAGTAGGTGGATATAGCTATAACTGGCATACTGTAGGTGGAGATAGCTACAACAGGCATAAAGTAGGTGGAGATAGCTACAACAGGCATAAAGTAGGTGGAGATAGCTACAACAGGCATAAAGTAGGTGGAGATAGCTACAACTGGCATACTGTAGATGGTGATAGCTACAACCGGCATACTGTAGGTGGTGATAGCTACAACTGGCATAAAGTAGGTGGAGATAGCTACAACAGGCATAAAGTAGGTGGAGATAGCTACAACAGGCATAAAGTAGGTGGAGATAGCTACAACAGGCATAAAGTAGGTGGAGATAGCTACAACAGGCATAAAGTAGGTGGAGATAGCTACAACAGGCATAAAGTAGGTGGATATAGCTATAACTGGCATACTGTAGGTGGAGATAGCTACAACAGGCATAAAGTAGGTGGAGATAGCTACAACAGGCATAAAGTAGGTGGAGATAGCTACAACAGGCATAAAGTAGGTGGAGATAGCTACAACTGGCATACTGTAGGTGGTGATAGCTACAACTGACATACTGTTGGTGGTGATAGCTACAACTGGCATACTGTAGATGGTGATAGCTACAACCGGCATACTGTAGGTGGTGATAGCTACAACTGGCATACTGTAGGTGGTCATAGCTGCAACTGACATACTGTAGGTGGTGATAGTTACAACTGGCATACTGTAGGTGGTGATAGCTACAACTAACATACACTAGGTGGTGATAGCTACAACTGACATACTGTTGGTGCTGATAGCTACAACAGGTATACTGTAGGTGGTCATAGCTACAACAGGCATACTGTAGGTGGTGATAGCTACAACCGACATACTGTAGGCGGTGATAGCTACAACCGGCATACTGTAGGCGGTGATAGCTACAACTGCCATACTGTAGGCGGTGATAGCTACAACTGACATACTGTAGGCGGTGATAGCTACAACCGGCATACACTAGGTGGTGATAGCTACAACTGACATACTATAGGCGGTGATAGCTACAACTGACATACTGTAGGTGGAGATAGCTACAACTGGCATACTGTAGGTGGTGATAGATACAACTGACATACTGTAGGTGGTGATAGCTACAGCCGGCATACTGTAGGTGGTGATAGCTACAACCGGCATACAGTAGGTGGTGATAACTACAGCCGGCATACAGTAGGTGGTGATAGCTACAACTGACATACTGTAGGTAGTGATAGCTACAACTGACATACTGTAGGTGGTGATAGCTACAACCGTCTTACAGAATCTGCGTTTTGTCAGTTAACTCAAATTAGCGATGGGCTTGTTAAATATTTTTGTAACCCTACGGAAATACATACAGCTTCCTACTGCCTTGCCCAAGGAGAAATTCCCTCAGGTGAGAAACCAAAGCCATGGATGGCAGTTATAGTTTGTATCATTTATATCTTATTTGTCTGTTATTTCTAGTATCGTATGGACTGGGCAAATACAGGGATAGGTTTCAAGAAAAGTTCGATCTTATTCGACAATACATTGACGTTTAATTTGGTGGCAAGTTCTTACAACAGACAACATTTATTTGACCGATTTGTGTTTGTTTCCATATAAGGAAGTAAGATAGCATAGTTATGTTTATGTATTTAAGCGTGTGCAAAGAATGAAAAACGGCGGAAATATTGAGTTGTAAGAACCAGCTAAGCAAACACTTGATATGCTTATAGATATTTTGTTTTAAACCTTATAATATCACATATCTTGTATGTTTAATGTCTAAACATTATGTAGTGTGTTATATCTACCCGTCGGTCCTCTGTTGTCACACTTCTTGTGGAACACATCTGCATTACTTCCGTCTTCCTTAAAACTATACAGCTTTTCAAAGTCCTTGAAGCCCTCTCCAATGAACCGCTGAAAGGTTTCCTTGTCTTGGTCTGAAAGACTCGTCATGACGCTTCGGTCCAATTTACTGAAGAAGAAAAATATAGGATTAATAATACGAAAACATACAACAATATACCGAAAAGTTAACATTAGATCATTGACACTAAGTCAAAGTATAAACAAAGAAGATATGTTTGCATTTGGTAATAGCTGTGAATATTATCATGAGTTTAGACGAACGAGAAATACATATCCATGCAGTGCAATTACTTCATAATGCAACCAAAACTCCTGAAGTTCAAAGACAAGTAGAATTGATCGGATCTCAACTGAGCTCGAGAGAATTAATGATATCGGAGATTATGGTGAATTAGAAAGACATGGCGTTCATGGCGGAGTGACTTAGAGAATATTGAGATTCATTTTACAAATATGTCTTTAAACAACGACGTTGAAATATAGTTTCGTCAATCATTCTAAAACACTAGTTACAAAAATACTTTAATATGTTATGAACCAATCATCACGTAACATAAACGATAGAATTTTGACATTTCATATTTAATATCTTGTACAAATTTGTGGCAAACCTTATACACAGTGATACCGAGGAACGACATATGACTTAGTCATAACGGTCTTAAAATAGATATCTTGCAACATTTATCAACCGACGATAGACATCTCGGAGACTGTGGTAATGTTTATTTTTAGATTCAGTATTGCTAGTTATTGCGCAGTTACTGAAAACGAAAGAAGATGTCAGGTCTCATCAGGCAAGAAAACGAAAGTAGGTTTTAAACAGTAATATTATTTTTGGATAAATGTATAAATGTCTTAAGATGAATCTGACAAAATGTATACAAACTATATACAAAATGTCAAAAAGACATTTGTAGTAGACCTATTCTTAGGTTCCTTTCGAGTCCTATTTGAATCTGAGAAAAAATGAGTAAACCCGTCCATAAGAAATTATACATTTAATTTGGCTGCAATATTCTACTGTTAATTCACATTTACCACGTTAAAACTCAAACACGAAAGGATGTTTTCGTTTCTGATAATGTATATATAAACAAAATCTTGGTTGCTCACGTTTTACGTCTGTCCAGTTTACACTAAATGTGGATCAAAATACTGATTACGTAATAAGTATTTGACGGGTTCTCCACAGGCATGAAACGAAAGTAGAAACCGATTTTATCTTTATTAATTTTTACAGTTAGTTATCATGTTTCTATTGCATGAACCTTAGTCTTAGAGGTGCAAGTTATAGGAGAAAACCTGCGGTGTTCTACTGATACACAGAGAAGGCCAGATGTAAATCGTAATTCATCTTTAGGACCAACTGAAATGGTGTTTAAGTGCTTATTACCACAAGGCTTTGTAACGTGGAGTTAAGAAATATTTGTAAACTATTGAGATAAACGTAAATGAGCGTGTGCCCGAAGAAAGGATTCTTAATTACAAACTTGAAGAGGTAAAACATTGTAGAGAATCTTCACAAGTCTCCTTTGAAACGGCCAAAAATTGTATAGTGATACTGACTAAATGTTACCATTTACATGACGTATATATGTCTTAGCTTCCGCAAAGTGGTGTTAGTGACACCTGACACAATAAGTTTGTCTTCAGTTGTTAGTTCTACCTGCTGGTAATACAAAGTCTATTTGTGAGTTTTATCAACATAGGCTCTGTTCAGTATCAAAACGAATGTAAAAACCAGCGATTACATGACACATAGACTAAATTATTTATATGTTTTTTATTGTAAGATTTCCTGTCAATTACGCTATGAAATAAATTATATTGATATGTAATAGCTCAATACACACATGCACGCCTTACCTTGATGTCGATAGAAATCAAATTTCTACAAGGATGTTATCTTCTCATTCGTAAGTAAAGCTCTGTCAAAACGATAGTAAACGCCCAGTTATATATATACAGGCTATGTCAAAACGAAAGTAAAAACCCGGTTATATATATACACAGTAGATTATGTCAAAACGGAAGTAAAACCCAGTTATAATTATATACAGTAGGCTATGTCGAAACGAAAGTAACGCCCCACAAATTGGAGTCGTCCGAAACAGAATATTAACACAAGTAAGTACATGGCATCTAAAATGTTCTGTATCCGCCACTGATAACTCTCAAAGGGCTCAAATAGACTCATTATCACTACACACAGAAATCTAGCTAGATATACTTCATATTCGGAATAGGCTGGCTTTTCAACATAACAGGAGTAATATGATATATTCTTTCGTAATAATGTTTTGGTTGCCTTTTGTAAAGATTTCATTTCAATACAGCTAAACCAACATTATATGATATATAGATATATATCGTGTACGTGACAACACATAACCTATTTTCCTTATTTACCATATATAACTTGATTTAAACCCCAAAATTCAAAATATCAATAAAAATATCATAAGGAGTTGGGACCCGTCAAAAGGCATGTTAGTGACCGTAGCCGTAATCTGATCTGAGTACATTCTGACTGAATTAGATGATCTTATCACACTAAGACATTGTACAAGGTTTACTTACTGAAATATATATATCATTCAAGTTAGAGTTTATATCTTGTACACAGATAAAACACGCCGGGGAGTTAGACACTTGTAAGAAGAAGAAAAAGGAGAAGAAACGATGTAGAAACAATAAACCCCCACTTCATTCGGGGGACTTAATTAAACGTATCAGCGATTACTGTAACACAGGATTGATATAATAAACAAAGTAATGATCAAAAAGAAATAACGAGTAAAGCAACATGATCACGGAAAATCGAATGTGTGTCTAGGGAATGCAATTAGACATGTGGATGTTTCTAAACCATTTATGTTGTTATGTCTATATCACACTGTTGTCGTTACATATTTAGTTTCAAATTTATACAATAGACTAATATTAGATAGCATCTAATTTATATATCAGGACAGGAACGTCTTCTATACCGATTTTACGACAGACATAGAATAACGTAGAATATCCTGAAACTGTGCATATTGTAATTTAGCACCACAAACAACAATGTTCATATTACAATGAATTATCGTGTGTTATTCTAGTTTAATCTATTTAATGTAAATGTAAACTTCATTTTTTTGTTTTTCATAAATTGTGTGCGAATGGTTTTGTTTGCTTATTTTAAGTTATATCAGAAGTAATATTGATTTGAGTTGGACAATTTCTAGAAGGACGAAACAACTGTTTTATGAAGCTCTCTTTCTAAATTAGTACCGAAAGCTGCTATTCACCTGTGTATCTTTAGTACAGTATTGTAAAGAAATATTTCGTTCTTTCCTTCCTGTTTTGTCCTACTTGTGACATAATATTTCAAATATATTACTTAACACACGGTAGTCAAGTAGTTAGGGCAGACATGCTTTAAATGTCTTAGTGTAAATAGATAAGATAAACTTAGATAAATATGCATGTAACGTGATTGTTTTTCTGGTGTTTCAATGGTGGAGAAGTGCTTTATGTCATTGTAAGTATTACTTGTTGTCTTATTTTGTGTTTAAGGCCCATACGTTCAAAATATGATAAAATGAAACTAGGTTGTGGTACAAATATTGGGAAGCAACGGTATGAAATCAATCATGGTCACCCAGATGCTTTTTTGGATGTAAGCTGTAACATTTAAGCTGATAAAAATGTTTTGAGTGTTAATCAGTTAATGGTGTTGATCTATAGGGGTACTGGAGAAGAATTGGTGGACCCGATACTATGGGGGTGATTTTCTCATCGCAGTATTTGACAAGTGTCAATAATACAGTTAAGGTAAGTATGAACAAAAGCTTACAAAAGAAAGTCTTTAATTTGCTGCCAACGACCAGGGCTTTATGGAGACAGACAAAAAGTGATGTTTACAGGAGAAAAATGACTACAGTTTGTAGTTTATAATTACCACCAATATTATTAAGTTATTAAGACATGTGTAATTATACCGACTACGTATCTATAAATAAAGAATAAAAAATGAATATAATCAATTATATTACAGCTGTAACAACACAGACTTTCGTGTTAATTGCAGTTTATTTAAGTGAAACAATAATATTTCTGTTGCTCGTAGACTACTTTGACACAATATGATTTCACCAATGGAATTCCAAAACGATTAGAATTATAAGATGTGATGTATTGCAGATCGCGCAGACCAATATTGCAAGACAAAGGTCACACGGAGATGCTGCTTTGCTGCAATTACAGAACATTAAAAAACAACTGGATAACTTGAAGTTAGAAATATATTTCAAGGTATGTTCTGGGTGCAAATCTACCGTTAAGGAAATCCTCGGTGAAACACCGCCAGTGAAACGTAACCTGACAGACATTTTGCCTCCAGAAAGGCAGATGTTACTACGTGAGATGGTACACAGTATGATCGAGTTACAGTTGTCCAAGTCGGGGCACACGGATGCGTCTGATACAGAAGTAGATGAGGCACTAGTAGATGAGGCACTAGCAGTGTTTGATGTAGGTCGGTATACCGAATTGGAGGAGTTGCTTCGTGCTACCACGGAGAAGAGTCAACAAAATGATAAAAGCTATGCAGATAATATCCTAAAAGCACACTTTGAAACGGACACAATTCTCCTTTCTAAACTTGCACTTGAAAAAGAACTAAACGAAATGAAAAATAAAATCGAAGATTTGTTGGTTGAAAGAGACAAACAAACAGCTCAGATAGAGGAGTTAGAAATTGTTGTGAAAAGTCGCACCAACGAAGGATACCAATTAAAAACAGAAAACACGCGTCTGAAAAATGCGAATATCGTCCTGCAAGCTACATTGGATTCACAAATAAAAGCGTTAGCTCATATGAAAGAAACAACAGATTTCCAAACTGCATGTGACAAAGAAAAAAATCGACAGGTACAAATGGCAACATATGAAACTGACAAAGAGAACGAGTATGGAAATCATACCCATACAGAGATTAGACAAGGTGACGGGGAACAAAGGTCGACTGTTAATGAAAGACAAAAACGAGAAATCGACAAAATCCAATCTGATCCAGGTAAGTGCTAAAAAATGATCAGGACATTATATAATCGATTGGTAATAGTTATTTTTATTGTAATTAGATGCAGTTAGAAAAAGGGTAATTAAATTCAAAACAATTGCAACAATTGCAAATTAATGGCGATATGTTCCGAAAACCGTCACCAAGTTACTCTAACACTTAAAGCGGCTATTACCTTAGATTTCAACATCGGGAAATGGAGAATTCTGCTTATGAATAATAAAATATATCCATATTAAAGCGACACACGCGCCTATAACGTTAAATCTGTTGTTATTGTACATATTTTAGGCGTCGGAACATTGTTTATCTTGACTATTGCTTATAAACATGCTCACGCTCAGTTTATTACGAAGAAAGTCAAGTGTGTCACATGGCTTGTCACGTGACGAAGTCATTTACATCCGCCGCAAAGAAAAAATGGATTACGAGATAAACAAACGCACATGTCTTATGTATGACACTTGCTTTTGCGCCTTTCTGCTAATTCTTGTTGGTAGTAAATTTTTAACAATCAATCTTAGTATTTCTTTTTTTTGCTTTGTCGTGCGAGAATTATCTATGTCAATCGCGGACGCTAAACTTTTGGGGCCCCAAAGGGGGTAAATATAACCGGAAAAGAATAAAATCGCATTGTGCAGAAATGCACAGGAATTGATACTTTATCTGTACACATTAATAGATATTGCATTGTTTATTATGAAGGCTATGTTTATCATCACGGTTGTTATTCTTACAGTAACACCAGTACCGTCATATTTTTACACTTAGAACGAATACCCCCAATTGGGCCCCACCTTGCTGTCAACAACAAACACACGTTGTCGATAGTAAATTCAAGCGAATAACACAACCATTTTCATTCAACATTTATCAGATAATACTTTAAGTAGTGTTTTTCAAAACATATTCACGCGTCAAACACTGGATATTGGATTATAATCAATGACAGGCGGATGCGTTATAATGATAGGGTTAACGTTAAGCTAACCAGTCGAACAGCAGCTCGCAAATTCCGTATTCAGTCCAAGATCCTCCTTCATCTTTCGCCATCTATCGATGTCCTGTCTAATACAAATTCTTGTCTGACCTCTTTTCTGCTCGGACTCTTTCCTCTTACGCTTTCTGGCACTTTCTGTAAGGTAACTTTTAGGTCCGCGTCGCATTTTCGTATTCGCGTCTGCCATATTGCTTCTTTCTAGGCTTATACGCATGCGTAGCATCAGGGTTACGAGCGGTAATGTATGAATTAGATCAGGCCCGCAATATTTATTCTTTATTTTTCAGATATCAATAAAAAATTGTTGCAGTGACTTTTAATTTTAGAAATTAACAGAAAGTCTTACTTTTGAAACATACTATTGGAAAATAGAACGTTTCATATTTTTTTCTCGTAGTATTTTTAACATTATAGTCGCTTTAATGGTTAAAATGCTGCTGTTTGTGTATGAAGGAAAACAGGTTGAGCAACTACAAACAGCACAAGAAAAAACATCCACCGCTATTCAGGAGTTGAGGGAGGCTAAGCATATCCCTGAGGAGGAAAATGCAAAGCACCTGAAAGAAATGACTAGTTCTACGGAACAAGAGAAAATTTTAGAGAAACAATGCGAAGACTTGAAGGGAGAACTGGAAAAGTCCGAAACTACGCTGGTACATCTGAAAGTGGAACAACAAAACATGAAGCACCAACGTGGGGAAGAAAATGCAAGATACGCGAAGGAAATTTCCAGACTAGAGGAAAATGAGATCACTTTACAGAGACAATGCAAGAATTTGCAGGAAGAGTTAGAACAATCAGAAGTCTCACTAGCACGCATGAAAATGGATTACGACAAGATGCAGGAGTCCTTTCAGAATCGTATGAAAAAAATGGAAGAAAAACATGCAAACACCTCGAAAGATTTACTCAATTCTACACAGGAGATCGACAGGCTAAAAACCCTTTTGAATACGCTAGAATATGAAATAGAAACTGTCAACGAAAAATTCACTAGTATGTTCAAAACCAAGAATGAAATTGAAATGGCGTCTGAGAGACTGGAAAGAGAAAAGAAAGAAATGGAAGATGCCTTAAATAAAGAGTTAAGGCAACTCAAAAATGAAAATACCAGTAATATCAATGAAATGGCGAATGTTGCTGAAGAAAATACTGTACTAAAACGAACACTTACTACACTAGAAAGTCAAAACGCGACACTGAATGAGAAGATAGCCATTATGTACCAAGCACAAACGGAACTTGAAATTGATTCAAAGAAAATGCAAGAAATGAAAGATTCAATGAACGAACAAATGAAACATCTGCAAGATGAAAATTCAAGTCTTGTAAAAGAAATGGCTAACTCTATAGAGGAGATACAGAATCTAAAGAGAACATTAGGGAGTGTGTCCCAGTCCAGGGATGAACTTGAAAAAGATGTAAAGATTCTTGAAGTCGAAAAGAAAGAAGTATCTGAACGGCTAAACGAACAAGTGACACAGCTCCAGGAAATGACGGAGAAACTCTCTTCCAGTGGTGACTTGCTTCAGAAGGAAAACGCCAAACTTAAGGAGGATCTCGGTAAGTATTCGTTTACTGGAACTCTTCAGTTATACTTAAACATTGGTTGATTTTATGTCATTATTCACAGTCTTTAGTTATGCTATCAGAGTCCATAGTACCATGTTTTATTTCTGCTTCTGGTGTGTAGTCAGTTGGTTAAGCATTTGATTAAGTTTAAAATGCAATAAATGGGATAATAATTAAATTCAGAAGCTTAATGACTTCTAGTGATCTTAATTATGTATTAACTTGTGTACTTCAAACAGGTACCGCCGACCAGCGGCTGCGATCAGCAGGAGGAGAAATAGAAAAATGTCGAGACTACAATCAACAACTGGAAAACGAAGTTGTTCTATATGTCGCAGAAATCAACAATTTCTCGACGGAAATCACCGAATTAAAAACAAATTTATCTGAATCGGATATTTTAATATGCCGTTTACAAAAAGAAAGAACGACTTTATCTGATTCCAAAGACCATTTTGAATCCTTAGTGCACAATCTACAAGCGGAAAGAGAGGACATACGGGAAGAATTGACCAAGCAGATGACAGATAAACCAGAAGAGAAGGAAGACATTTTCTCTGTAATTTCTGGACTCAATTGTTACGTTGACAAGTTGCAATTTGAACTTCGTAAGTCCAAATATCAAACGTCTGTTGATATCAAGATTGGGTTGTTAAAAGTTGCCTACATTGTGTACTGGTTATGATGTATAAAACAACACTGATAAAGCTGTTTTATCACGTCATGTGTCAAGGGTGAGTGTACGTTATTGTCGTGATGGAGTGATATCAAAAACTCAATGCTGGTCTCGAGAAATTTATCCTTGATGTATACGGTGACTCATTAAGTGATTTAGGATGTGTTAACTGTAACTCTCTAGTGAATTAGAATTTGTGTGTGCGGTAACTCTCTAGTGTTTTAAGGTTTGTGTACGGTAAATCTCAAATGATTTTGGGTTTGTGTACGGTAAATCTCTAATGATTTAGGGTTTGTGTACGGTAACTCTCTAGTGTTTTAGGGTTTGTGTACGGTAAATCTCTAGTGTTTTTGGGTTTGTGTACGGTAAATCTCTAATGATTTGGGGTTTGTGTAGGGTAAATTTCTAGTGATTTAAGGTTTGTGTACGGTAAATCTCTAATGATTTAGGGTTTGTGTACGGTAAATCTCTAATGATTTAGGGTTTGTGTACGGTAAATCTCTAGTGATTTAGGGTCTGTGTACGGTAAATCTCTAATGATTTGGGGTCTGTGTACGGTAAGTTTCTAATGATTTGGGGTCTGTGTACGGTAAGTCTCTAATGATTTGGGGTCTGTGTACGGTAAATCTCTAATGATTTGGGGTCTGTGTACGGTAAATCTCTAATGATTTGGGGTTTGTGTACGGTAAGTTGTGCAAGTTCATAACCCTGTTGTTATCATAGCCAAACATTATGTTTGTAATTGTAATGCAATAATTGTCACCTTCAGTTGAATGTAAGTATTCTCGGAGATATTCCAACATCAGCGTAATATATTGTATTAATTGCAGCAACACAACGTGATGACATTTTTCTAGATGTCTGGATTGTGTGGAATTAAAAAAAATGGCCGTTTTGATTTAAATGTTACCCTGATGTTTTACTTTATATCTGTTTTTCTCACCAGGAGGAAGCGGGTCAAAATCATCAAATTTTGTAATTAACATCTACACTTTAGATATCTCTTGTTCTCTCTTTAGGAACAAAATCCCAAAATCTCGAATCAGCACTTGCTGAACTCGAAGAAATTAAAAACAGAAGGAAATCGGTCGGTAAGTAGATTCCAAATGCAGCTGTTAGTCTAACGGATTGTTTTTAGATAAAATAAACACATGTTGACATCATTTGAAATCTCTATATCCCGGATCGAGTATGAATTATTCCTCCCAATAGTGACATCCCACACTATACACATGTACCTTACATTACTTTGCAATAATTTCATATTATTAATTTATGAAATTTATAGAATTTCTGGGTTAGTCTAACTTCCCATTTTACATTTATTCAACTAATTTTGACGTTCCTCAGTTACCTCCAAAAATATCGATGAGTTCTAAAGGGACAAAACATCAGAATGACGCAGGTCACTTTCATTACTTGGCAATACTGTTATGGTGTCTAATTCTAAATTTATATCAAAAAGTGTTGTTTGTTTATTTTTGTACACTCTCTAAGATTGTATTTGATTTAAGAACACAAATAAGAGGTTTATATAATATAGCAAAATATTTATATTCCATTACAGTGATGGGTCTCCGTGTGGAGCGAAGTGGGCTTGGCAAAACTATGATAGATTTGGTTTCAAAGGAATTGACGAAACGATTGCAAAAATGTCTTGAGAAAGAAAGGATTGACATAGACATAAAGCTGTGCCAGACACGAGATGACGTACCTCACGTGCCCCTGTTTGTGTTGTGTCTGAACATGTCACGTGTTGGTACAAACATACGTGAAGCTATAGAGGGAATAAAACGTAAGTTAAGTTACTACGAATCGGTTGAAATGTAAAATCTTTTGGTTCCTCAATTTGATGATTAAAGGACAGAAAAGCTTGGAATAGTATGTAACTATGGACGAACTGGTGTAGTCATGATATCGTAACGTTATTGTTCTTGCAGATGAAACAGAATTACAAGTAATCGTTGAAATATGCAAGCATACTATTTAACTACGGACTTCGATATATATATCTAATTCTGTGTGTGAAATGCTTGCTGCATATAGATAAAAAAAATTGAATTATTTCATAATTGTTGTTTGTTACAATCTGTAATTACTGATTAAATTTGGTGGGGTCGTCGATACATGCTTTTGTCATCCCAGATCTGTTTTACGAATCTGTAATCTTCGGCAAAATCTACATAATGTGGAATTGTTTCTGGTAAATGTTTGAAGGACATGGGATATCGATAAAACTGAAACGTCTGTCCCCACGGCTTACTGTATACTGTTATTACACGTCAACATTTCCATTGTTCCCAGCCAACCGAGACGTATATGCTCTGGTCCTACACAACACAGTCAAGGAAAATCTATTATTGCTGACACCAACTGGCCATCGTGTGACAGGTCAAGATCTACGACAGCTCGGTGGTATCATAGATATGGCCCTTACCAGCGACAGTGGTTTGTATGAATGTGACCTCAACGAAACCGCCGTGGACAAGATGGCCGCAATTCTCAAGAGATATTCACAGTAGCCACATTGTTCTGTCAGTAGATGTGGTCATGACAGTCTTGTGAAATTTATCAGGACCATGTATATATATATATATATATTACGATATGAGTAATTAAAGTAAAGCTTTATAATCCTAATCACTAAGTTGAACGACTGTAGTTAGTCTAGTGCATCCTTGCGTAAAGACTCACTTTTGTAATAACGGTGTGATCTCATTGAGGAGAGGGATGAACTCATTAATGGCGATGGTTTGCAATACTTCTAATGTTGAGATAGAAGTATTTTAACAAATTATCAATATCAAAATCTGGCTGACGGAATTCAATTTCGCTTCAAATTAAAATCCGTTGCAAACTACTTATGTATAAACTATCCGTCTTTCAACTTTTATTCCAAAGGATAATATCAATATAGACTAATACTTGGTAAATGCTTACCAACGTTGGCCCAGCAATACCCAATATGCTTGTATTGATACAGGACTTCTATTTAGTTCTAAGGCAGCTCTCTCCGTCTCTGTGCATTCAACCACATCAATGTGATTCATCATCTAACACAGCCATAAGTAACAACTTACCTGGTGACTTTACCTTAAAGCTGACAATATAAGTTAAAAAGAATTCATTTTGAGATTAAAAAAAGTTTCTGTTTCATAATACTTTGGAGACCTTTATTTGGAAACAGGTATGGGCGTCCCATAGTATAAAAGGCTTGCAACCTGTCAAACCAGTTATCATTTCTACATTGACCGCCCAAAGTGAAACTCGCTTGCATATTATATGATTAAACATACACGTGATAAAAAAAGTGTGCACTCACTTGAGGACTTTGAAGTTGCTTGAAGATAATCAGTCTTCTCAGCTGTCTAAAATATATTAAAAAGATATACTATAACTGAAAACAAGGAAACTCTCTGCAGTCCAATCGCATATATCCCGAAACACATGCATGTGCACCAAACTCTGGACATGTGTTCAAAATGAAGTAAAAAGAAAAGCCACATTTAGACAAACTATAATTATTCCTACAGAAATATTTCTTAAAATCACACACAATATAACTTCTATTTGGTCTCGCCCCTTGGCCTCAGGTCTACCATTTGCACAAAGTTGGTTTCCCTTCACCCAAGGATGCTTCAGAACAAATGTGGTCAAAATACCATCATCCCAGCAAAAGACAGGTTCCTCTCTATACCTACAAAGGCTCCACTCCTCTGGAAAAGTGGTCAGACAAGCCTTGCATGTAAAATTGGGTCTCCTAAGGATGCTTAGGACAAAATTAATTTGAATGAAATCCAAATATACCTACAAAGGTAAAAGGGTTTCAGAATCGCTAAATTTTCTTATTGCAGATCTGCCCCTCAGGCCCAGGGGAGCCAAGACCCATCATTTATACAAAACTGGTTTCCATTACTCCAAGGACATGTTTGAATAATCACAAAATCATGTACATAGTATACATCTTGTGTCTGCCAGCACACACACATTTATCGTTTTTTCAATTAGATTGTTTTTTTTTTTTTTTTCAAAACTGGTTTTTCATTAAATGTGTTATTTTTAAAACATGGCTTTCTATTTTGAATTGTATTTTTGTGTAATAGACAGTGCCATTACAGGGTCATTGCCAGTTGCTTATGACTGTGTCCAACAGAAGAATCACATATAACACAGCCACATGTGAGACGAAGTTAGGACACTAAACATATTTGGTCCAGGAACAAAAAGCAACAGTTGATGATGTTACAGCTTTGTTTCAAGTGTAAAAGTACTGTTATATGTTGACCCATTTCAAGTTTGTAGCTTATCAGTGCTAATTTTTAATCAATCTCATGGAATAGAATTTAAGAATCTGTTCATCACATTTCTTACAGTGCGATATTCTCAGTCACCTCTTCCTTTCATTGATGTCACATGTGAAGTCAAGAAATTCATATGAAATCACTAAAGACTAAAGAAATATTGACAAAAAAAAAACAAAAACAAAAAACCCACAAAAACAAAATATATGGATTGATTGATATAATCAATGACACTTATTAGAGTAGCTGTGGTAGGCTGAATGTTACTAAAGAAAAAAAAATTTGGAAAGGATATCGCCAATATAAATTTAATATCACCCTAATAATGTTTTCATGAATGTTTGCTTTATTTAAGTGATGTGATAAACAGAATCTTGCACTTGTTTTTATTTGATTTCATATGATGTAGTAACTTGTCATGATTTCTTTCTTAATTTTATCTTTACCTGTGATCTATAGTTTGTTTCAATTAATTAACCATACCTAGAAGTAACCCCAACATTGCACTCAAGCATCCAAGATTGAGTATATTAAAGAATTGTCTTTGTTTTCATGAACAGTTTTATGCCTTATTAGTTAATGATAAAATAATTAAAATGTTAGTGAATATTTATCAAAGTCCTGCAGTGTGAAAACATAAATATTAATCAAAGCTTATTATATAATTTGATTATTAATCAAAGCTGATTAAAGAAATTGTTCAATCTAAGCCATGTAGATAGAGTATATAAGACAGTTGATTTCTAAATCCTTAAACAGTTTCAACATGGCTAATGCTCAGCTACAGGTTGATTTTCTGGATGGATTTTTTCTTGTTAATGCGGGGTACAAATATTACGTGAAATCTCATCGTGGCCAGAGGCGTTCTTCCCTACAGAGAGGAGGAGGAAGGACATCAAGAGATTAGTAAGACGAGCAGCAGTGCTACCGTTAGTACCCGTGCACAAAGTTGAGGATGTGTGGTTTGCAGCACTGGAAGACTTGGATGACGACCGACCAGGAGTCATCCGATTCACTGACTATGTCACAGAGACCTGGATGGAGACTGATCGCACAGAATTCAACCATTTTGACAATAACGGAGCAACCTCCACAACCAACCATGTGGAGGGATGGCACAGCTGCCTTAACAAGATCTGCAGAAGACCCCATCCCAACATGTATGCCTTGTACACATGCTTCAGAAAGAGCAGGCAACCAATGAAGCAAAGATTATTCAAATCAATGCTGAAGGAAAACCAAGGTCAAAGCGAAGGAAATACCGCCAGTTGGATTCCCAGTTAGCACGAATGAAGGACAGATTCTGAGCTGGACAGATAGATGTGGTGCTGTATGCAGATTCAGCCTCTCATCTTATTCATGTGGAGTAGATGTGAAAAATAGTTTTAAAAGTTTGTCAATGGATATTTGATAGTGGCTATATTTTAATTCTGTATCTTATTTATGTATGCTTACTTTTTTTCATGTGCTTAAGTATGTCATATAAAACAATAAAATGAAATCAACATAGTGCTTGCATTGTACAATTATGTTTTATTTCTGTAGTGCTGTATGTGTGATGACTTTTTAAATAAAATGACTATAAAATGTTGAATATGTTTCAATTTTAGTATGATATGTTCAGTGCTGTGGTTTTTTAATGAATGACATTTGAATTAAAATACAATGAGTAAAACATTCTTTGTTTGTCATGAATTCATATATTTTGATATTGAAATAAAAAGGATGAGTATAAACATTTTGTATATTGTTTTACTGTGCTTTTTATTTCAATATTGCTGTTAAAGTGAGAATATTTATATTTTGGTGAAATATTTGTGCAATGCATTTAAGTTAAAAAATATATACTCAACAAAAAAAAGAAAGGTTAACATGTTTCCTTGGCGAATACCTGTAAATGAGTGAAAACAAAATGACGTTTGTGCAATATTACAAAATGGTAATGTTTTACATTACAAAATCCAAGGGGGTTACCAAAATCATTCAAGTGTGAAAGTCTGTATTAGCGAAAGAGCTGCACGAGGTTTTCTGCGACTAACTTGTATCTTCGCTTGAATTTCATAAACATTCAAACTGACAACTGTTCCTTAGATCCTTAGGACTTAGAAATCACCGAATCTTGCTATCTATCAACTTTATCATTTTGCCCCGGCTGTCACAAGTACAGAGAGAAAGGGCTGTAGGCATGATCCAGGCTGGGGAGTCTCGCCGTCGAGTTGCACGGCATTTTGGTTGCAGTGTTAAGACAATTTGCCAGTTGGTAAGTCGTTTAAACCAAACTGGGTCAACATCCGATCGTCCCCGAAGCGGCTGACCCCGTAAAACGAATGCCAGGGATGATCGTGGTATACGATTGATACACTTGCGCAATTGATTCGTAACCGCAGTAGAGACTACAAGGACATTGTTTTGGCGTCGTGTGTCTCCCCAAACAGTCCGCAACAGGTTGAGGGCCTACCAATTGAAAGCGTGGCGTCCCTACACTGGACCCAATTTGTTGCGACGTCACCATAATAATCGGCGTAACTGGACCCATGCTCACCGTCGTTGGGCCTTACGACAATGGAACAATGTTCTGTTTTCAGGTGAGTCCAGGTTATGTCTGCAACACGGTGACGGAAGGCGCAGAGTATGGAGGCGACGAGGGGAGCGTTTTGCGAACTGCTGCGTCGCAGAACGGGACCGCTTTGGCGGCGGAAGTGTAATGGTTTGGGGTGGTATTTGTGGGGAGACTCGTACCAGGCTTGTGGTGTTAAATGGCAATTTAACCGGCATTCGATATCGGGACGAAATTTTAAGACCAGTGGTTCTGCCATTCTTAAGACGCCATGGCGTTGGCGCCATTTTTCAACAGGATAACGCACCAGCGCACACCAGTCGCGTCAGCAGAACTTTCTTGCAGCAGAATAACGTACAGGTGTTAGATTTCCCATCTAAATCACCTGATTTGTCACCGATTGAGCATGTCTGGGACGCGTGACAGAACGTCAAAATCTGCTGTCAAACTTGCAGGACGACGACGCTGCAATGCTGTTAACTTCGCAAACGGTGGCCATACCCGTTACTAATAAACCATGACTGCAGTTTTATCAGAATTGATCAATTACTTTATTCGTACATGATTGGTAAGGATTTATGAAGGGGTTAATTAATCAATCACAGGATAAGGTAGTGTGGTGGAAGTGGATCTCCTTGTCGTGTGCCTGTAGTATGCAGTAATT